GGAGGGTGCTAAAGGGGAGTTGCACACAGGTGGGGTGGAAAAGCGAATGCGGCACCTAGCGGGGCGAGGACAGAGAACCGCCCCAACTCATGCATCATTTATTCAGCCCGCACTCCCTGGCTCTTTCGCTCTTTCGCTCTTTATCTGCATCTGTTTTTGCACAGCTTTTCCTGTTTCTTTTTTCTGTGTCTGTGTGTGTGTGTGGCTGTGTTTGTGCAACGTCAGCAACGGCAGCGACGCAGCAGCAGCAGCAACAACAACCACGCCACAACTTGAACAACGCGGTGAAGGTCATTGCTACCAAAATTGTGTCTCCCTTTTGTCCTACTCTACTCTCGACTCGACTCGACTCGACTCGACGCGACTCTGCCTCGACTCGCTTCGACTCCATTCGACACAGACACATTTCCCTGCCTCTCTGCCTGTCTGTGTGCATGTGTGTGTGTGTGTTCATGCTTCTGCATGTGGCATGGCATCCATCCTAGTGGTATACTCCACATCCAACATAACTCCGACCATGAATAGTCGCCGGGGAGGGGGCTTGAGCTTCAGATGGAGCTGGGGAAATGGAGACCTTTACCTCTCGACTGCACTCTCCTCGTTGGGGAGTTTTTCTTTCTCTTGGTGTTTGATATTCTTTTTGTTTTGTTTTTGTTTTTGCATTTCGTTTGGTTTGCCTTTCGCCGTTTTCGCCTACCCAGCCCTGTCTTTTCATCAAAATTTGTATGAGGCAAAGAGCCTGGGTTGCAGCGTGGCCAGACAGTGGAAGTTACACAGGAATTAAAGGAAAATGAACTTAATCCATTGCTATTTGCCAGTTCCTTTCATAATATCAGTATTCAGTGAACCATTCTGATGTATTCTCAGCACGTATGAAGGAAATTCTGCCAACTGATCATATGAAATTGATGCTAGATGACAACTCCTTGGATTCTGCAGTTAAGAAGCAAATTCGAGAGGTGCCAGAAGGAACATTCTTCTACTTGTTCTATGGCTTTCATCAAGAGATCGAACATCGCACCCATGTTATGTTATGGTATAACTTTACATTCTATGTTGCATTCTACCTTGACCTTCTAGAATCTAGATTTATACAGATCCTTGGCATTTCATTGTGGCATCTGGCAACGCTCTGCCACACTTGAATAGCGATTACAAAATTGCTACCTCGCCATCCCCCCATGCAGCTCCAGCACTCTCTCCCAACAAACCAACATTTCCCCTCCTGTCCTTCACACCTCCACACAGCGCTGAACCTCTCCCCTCCCTCCATCCATCCATACACTCTAAACAGAGAATTTGCAAACTTGTTCGTTCGCTTTGCTGCACTCTGCACTCTGCACACCCCCAGCCACCCCGCCCGTTGCTCGACGTCTCGCTCTGGCCCGGCCTGGCCTGGCCACAAACTGTGTCTGTGTCACTCAACCCACTAAACTAGCGCACAATGGGAAATGCGATGACGACGACATCGACAACGACAACGATGACGCTAGGCAACGGCTCACACTCGATTCTCTGTCTCTCTCTCTCTCTCTCCACATTCTTCCCCCGACAGAGCGCAGCACAGACATTGCACTGCTTGTACTGCTTCATCTTACTCCTTTCCCCGCTTCTTCGCCTACCGATTCACTGCTTATTCTTCGTCTCTCTTTTGCTGTTTTGCTGTTTCGCTGTTCGATTCACGTGCTGCTTGCTTGTCGTCTTCGCACGCTTTTCGTGTGCGCTGTCGTTTCGCTCGTTCGTTTCGTTTGCTGCCTGCTGCCTGCTGCTTGCTGCATGCAACATTTTCCGCACGACGTTGCTGCTCCTCTCTTCCCTCTGGCTAGGCAGCCAGCACTCAGCGGAAGTTCTGCGTGTGTGTGTGTGCTTGTGTGTTTGTGTTCTGTTGTGTGTTTGGGTTCAATGTCTGGTGGTTGACCTACCCACACTCCACTCCAAGCGCTTTTCGCAAAGCAGTGGAGGCAGCAGTAGAGGGAAGGGAGCAGGACTCCTCTGATCTGCTCTGCTTATTTGCACAGCAACTCGTGCCGCTGCTTGAACTGCTTGGGGTATTAGAAAGTGCCCCGCCCAAAAGCAACCCACGGAGGCGTGGGCACCCACCACACACATCTCTCTCTCTCTCTCTCTCTCTCTCTGTGTGACAAGTGAAAACTAGAAAATTCCACTCCTCACTAAAGTAAAAGTGTCTTATCGGGCGCATCCCCCTTCCGACCCACCCAAGAGTGTGGGTGACAAGCTCCTTTGGCGTCGCCAGGACTAGACAATAAGCTCCTTCTTTATAGAGAGCTGCATTGCCACCCAGTAAAATTACATTCCCCGAAACGATTATCTTGCATCAATCTTCCAATACTTGACCAAGGGCATGGCCACAAGAGTAGAGAGAGAGAGAGAGGAAATCTCTGACTGAGACTCTGACAGGAAAATGGAAAACCACTTATTCTACTGCTTCTGCCAGCAAGCCAACTGGTTTTCCACTTGCAGTTTTCCCCGCGGCTGAGAAACTCGAGAACATTCAAGGCTAAGCCTGGTTGGGTCATTGCCATTGCCATTGCCATTGCCATTGCCATTGCATTTTCCCCCGGTGGAAAAACTAGTTGCATTGCCTATGCCTATGCCTATGCCTATGTCCCAACTCCAACTCCAACAGCCGCATTGTGCAATGTGCAATGTTTGCTTAGATGGATTACCGAAGAGCTGGAACTTGCTGGACGGGTTTCGTTCCAGGGAAAGTTCTGGCTGCCTCTTTGAGAGAGCGAGAGCGAGAGCGAGAGCGAGTGGTAGTAGTGCTAGAGAAATGGAGAAAGTTGCAATTGGCAAAAAAGAGACAAGACAACTTCCCCTTGCTTCTGCAGTTTCAGGTGGGAACTAGGTGAGGTGAGTCACAGTTGCAACCCTTCCTGGAACCTGGACTCCTGGACTCCTGGCTGGCCCCCTTTGGCACTGTCCACGAAATGACAAATTATCCTGCAGAACCCGCTGGGCGGACATGTCAGGGACACAGACACACACACACAGAGTCTCCCGTCTGTAATCAAACGGGGGGAACTGGGAACAGGTGCGCTGTGTCCAGCACTTTGAGACATGCTTCCCCTCAGGGGTATGCCACTGGCATGCAATCTGTGTGCCAGCGTTAAATGTTGTTGTGATGCCACCCCAAAACAGTCCTGTAGAGGTCAAAGCTTAGTATCATATTTTGCATTATTCAAAGTAAGCATTTCGAAGCCCGAAACTTGCAATGATTGGATAAACCTCGATTAACCGTTTTAAGGCCACATAATGCCCCAGCCCAAAATGACTAAACACCGCAACCATTCGGGGTAATGCCCTTACCATATTACCGTATCATTTGCGTACACATTTCGAATGTTGTCGTATGCTTAGCTTGGGTCCTTTATGTATCTGCTGTGTGCCCTCCCTCAACAAAGGACCCGTATCCAGGGGCGTGTGGCTAGGGCCAGCCCCCCTGTCAAAGCCCAACCCTTTATCGAGCCACAACATTCTTCTGGTTTATTGACCTCCATGTTGCACTGCATTGCGTCATCGGCTCATCTGTCCGCGGGGCACGTTCCGCTCTTATCACGCAACGGGCATCAAAAGTGTCAGCCCAGAGAGTCTACTCCTCCTGCTCCTCCTCCAGCTCTCATCCACTCTCTCTCTCTCTCTCTCTCGTGGCCAAGTGCAATTGCTGTTTGCTGCAGCAGCAACATTACAAATTAGCGAAAGTTTTGGGCTGGAGAAGGGAGGACAACTGTCTGGGCCCTGACATCGTCGGTTGTTTGTTTGCTCTTTATTTTGGGGGAATGGGTGAAGCAAGTGGGATGGCAAATGTTTGTGCTGCCTGTCTGCAGGGGGTTGCAAGTTGCAACACACACTCGTTGCGTGGCGGCATAATGGCCTGTAATCTATATCATTTTGCACAGTTTGCTGGCGTCACCGCCAGTGCTTGATGTTTTGGCCAAAAAAGTGGCCATAAAACGCAGCCATAGACGAAGCCACGGCGCAGATGGGGCAAGGGCAAGGGCCGTTTGGGAACTAGGGTGGAAACTAGACAAAGGGTTAGCTTGCAGATAAAGAAAAGGGAAGAGGGAAAAGGGAAAAGGAAACCCCGTGCAACCGATCACAATATGAAATATCTTCTCTGTGGCAAAGACTGATGCAATAATGCAGCCAAGTTTGCTCCATCTTTGGCCGGGTGCCAGCGAACCTCACTCTCTCCATAGCTTACTCTCTGGATTCGGCTCTGGTTCGTGCCTGCATACGATTTTCCGACTCTGGTCTCATCAGTTCGGTGCGGTTCGTGCTATTGGCTGTTACGCTTTCTGCCGCAGAGCAAAGAGAAGCGGATTTCCCTCTCTACGTGGAACGATGGAAACGCAACGGAATATTACGGACTTACCGTTCGAGGTGCTTGACCTGATATTCAAGAAACTGCCCAAAGAGAAGGACAAACCGAACTTGGGACAAACACATGAGATGCAGAATATTTCAGAGTAATGCCAGTTTCACAGAAGACACCAAAAGGTTAATCTTGCAAGCCTGTGGCTCGACTACTATAGGTGCAACACGAAGCTCTCTGTCCAACTTCAAAGTTCCACTATTGCAACATTTTGTATGTATCTACATATGTTTGGGTGTTTGTTGCATCAAAAGCTATCCGTTGCGCTTGGACCAGTGCCCGAGAGCCGCCGCAGTGTTCGTTCTTCAGGGAAATACAGCAATTCTTCTACCGCACCACACTGTTATTTGAGTGTGACAGTGACTCGGTTGTTCAGTTGAAAGGCACTGCATGCGAGTGATTAAACACAAACTTCATCGAATTTCCAGTAAGTGTTTACCTGTGGAGTACAAATATTTACGCAAACAGAAACCTGACTGCAAAATATGTGTGTACATTCAGTGCGTGCGTCCAATTGCACTATCCCCCCGCTGTTCCAGTGATCCACTCAGAGAGAGAGAGAGAGAGAGAGAGCAAGACGAAAGCTCTTCTCTACTCTCCTCACCTCCTCTTTCTCTCTCTCTCTCGCCCGACCTCGTCTCACCGTCGGGCCACGTGCATTTATCTCTGTTTCAGTTCCGTTTTCGCTCTCGGCGACGACGGCTTTGGGGCTGCGTTAAATGGCGACGGCAGCGGCACAACGGAATATTCTCGACCTTCCGTATGAGGTTCTTGATCTTATTTACAAAGAACTTAGATACCTACGCGATAGAATTAATTTGGCCAGAGCGGACGCGTATCTGGGCGGGGCTTTCGCCTTTCACAGTCGCGACGAATTCAAGCATGTGTACGCCTTTGACCAGTACATATCGAGGGACTCGTGGCCCATGCTGCTGTCGCTGTGCGGCACCACGGTGCGTGAGTACTCGTGTTGCAACAGTCACAATTGGAGCGACGCTCTGACAAAGTTGGTGGAGCAGCACTGCCCCGAGCTCGAAATAGTAAATGTAAATGTGAACGCTCGCAACTGCAACAGCGTCAGGTCGGTGATTGAAAACGCCAGGACAACAATAAAGGAAATCAAATTGGATGCTGATAATCGCGTCCCAAAGTGGATCCCACCAATGATGCTCCACGAGTATCCGGAAATGCCACTGCTCCGAAAAGGTACCTTTATTAGGTTTTCCAGCGAGGAACGTGAGTGTCCCACAGGCCACAATAAACACAAGAAATTCCCTTGACATTCTTTGCTTCAGTCTTTCATATACAGAAATTCAGCACATTAGAGGAGCTGGAACTAGATCCAGGAAAGTTGGACTGTCGTCCAATCAAACTATTCCAAATTACCGCCAATCTGAAGAAACTTCGCTCCTTGAATCTTTACTATTACAATATAGTAGGGCCTGAGGATACGGAGGCGAGTGCCACCTCGATGCCATTTCCCTCCCTAGAATCACTGAAAATGAGAAGATGTGAGATCTCAATGGAGATGCCGCTCTGCCCAAATATTACCTCCTTAGACATTATCAATTGTCAGTCGAGCATCGAGAATGTGCTCTACAGGTTCATCCTAAAACAGGGCGACACCTTGGTGAATCTGAGCATCGACTGTCGCCCCTCGATGCTCGATGGCAAGGAATTCCTCGATATTCTCCGGTGCTGCAAGAGACTGCGCTTATTTTGTGTGCAGGCACAAAAGGTCAAGTTCACCAGAGATTTTGTGGCCACCATGGTGGACATTCTGTATGTTAATGGCGTCACTGCGAAAGAGCCACTGCGCCTAAAGATCTACGGCATATCGAAGGCCGACTGGGCTGCTAAATGGGTGAGTGCTAGATACTTGCAGAAAGAACAACAACTGACACAGATATCACTCTTTGCCTGTCTCTCTCTCTCTCTCTCTCTCTCTCGTTTATAGGTTCCACTAACTGTTAATCCGAATTTACTCTCTGTGGAATATTGGTTAAAATGATCATAGATAAATAATAATAAAAGCAGTTTTTATTTTTACATTTGTTTTACAAAAGAAAAACATCAAATAAAGTGTTTTTTTGTTTGTTTTGATAATGCTCCGTCGTGTCTTGTCTTGGCCACCCGGCATACCCATACTCGTTTACAAAAGCGCAGCACATATAATGAGCTTCTCTCCAGAGCGCCACTTGCAAGCCCTCCGTTTCTCTCCCTCTCTCCCTGCCTTCCACAACTTCGGGCTTGCTTGCAGTTGGCACAGAGGAACGCATGGGAATGTACTGGAACAGTACAAAGCTGCAAGCCGTTCGAGGAGGGTCTTGACTTAATGTGTACATAAATACATACAAGTACTCGTATATTCCTTCCATATTCTTTAGTTCAGTCTCAACAATTAATACCATAACAAATGCAAAATCATCATCTACAGTTTTCCCTGCCCCATAAAGATCTTCTCAACTTAAAAACTGATGCAATAAACTGCAAAAGCTTTGCCCCAGAGAAAAAGAAAGAGAGAGTGAGCAGCTTTGAGAGCTTTGGCTGTGACTCTTCGGCTCTGGTTCGGGACTGACTGCATAGCATTTTCTCAGTTCGCTCAGTTCGGTGCGTGCTCTCGCGAGTTCGTTGCATTTTCTGCCACCACAAATTGCAAGCAAATTGCACTCTCTACGAGGGGAACGGAACGGAACGATGGAAACACAGCGGAATATCACTGATCTGCCGCTGGAGGTTCTTGACCTGATATTCAACAATATTGATATTCGAATGGATCAAATTCAATTGGCGCAGGCCCATGAGTATCTGGGCGAGGCGTTTGCCTACCACAGTCGTGATACATACAAACGCATGTATATTGGTGCCTTTAGTCCCCTTAACAGTTATGCGCTTCTTTTAAGGACCTGTGGCTCGTCTGTGCGGGAGTTGTCCTATGACGTTGGCAGCGAAGACTTGGGAAAATTGGTGGGCAAATACTGCCATCAATTGGAGTCAATTGAATTCCGCGTCACTGCAAGCTCTGCCCACCTCATGGAATCCTTGATACTCCTTCTTAAAGGAAGAGATTCCATAAAATCGATTCAGATAATCATGGAAAGAGATGTCCCCGGTACAGTCCTTCAAGGCCTGACTGAATTTCCACAGCTCAGGAATCTGGATTTCAGGCAAAACGCTGGCGATGCAGGTGAGTTTTCTGGGATACTCTTTTGCTTTATCGAAGCTCTGGAACTGTCATTTTCAGTCTACGAGATACGTAAATTGATCAACTTGGAAGAACTGAAAATAAAGTCAAGTTCGTACCACGAACAAGTCAACATTTTCGATATTTGTGCTCCCATGAAGAAACTTCGGTGCCTGACGGTATTCAACATTAATATTCTATCCCATGGGAAGGAGGATGCTCCTTTAATGGCGTGTCCCGCGCTGGAGGAACTCACCCTTCAGCAGTGCCTACTCTCAGCCGAGCTTCCCCATTTCCCAAGGCTTACATCCATGACGCTTGCGTCATGTGCCTGCAACATCAAGCACTTGGTTTGTGCAACCATTTTGAAGAACGCAAACAGCTTAGAAGAGCTGGACATCGACTGCCATCCATCGCCCTTCGATGGGGATAATTTCCTCGAGGTGCTACGCGCCTGTAAAAAGCTCAGAGAACTTTGTGAACCAATACGAAAGGTGCCTATCTACAGGGCGTTCGTGTTTCAAATAGTGGAGATTCTGCAGGAGAATGGCTGGACACCGGAAAACCCATTCACATTGTGGGTGTTCGATCGCCCAAAGATGAAGTGGATCAAACGCTTGGTGAGGCCCCAACTTATGGCCAATAATCACAAACAGATTCCTAATTCCCTGTGGTATTTACTTTCCAGGTTGCCCAGAGTTCATGTCCCGGAATAATTGATCTCAATGTTGTTAAAATAATCTCAAAATAAATGCCCATTGCAAAGATACATTTTTGTTTTATTTAAAATGATTTCCCAAACATGATCCCCCCATAAATGGTTTATAAGAGGGACATGAAAGTGCTGCAAAATCTTCTGGAAACTGAACATCTTCTGAGGAATGGGTTCTCTCTCAGTCACGCAAACATTTCCAACGGCTTACTGCTCTAATCCCCTGTCTGGCAATAGAATCTGTCAGGGAAATATGCATTTCAATAAGTCGCAGGAGCTGCAGCTGAGGTGACAATTTAGCCCAATTTAAGCGACCGCTTAGATATGACTAATGCTTTTCACAGAACACAAATCCCACACGAACTTTGAACTTGAGGTTGAACCTCAATAGCCCCACCAAAGTCCCAGGAGGACAGGTGCAATGGACACACAGCGGCGCCACCGAAAGTCGCCTGTGGCCTGGCTTACTCATCGTGGGAGGGTAGTTGGTTCTGGGTGAGATGATTCACCTTTGCGGGCTGCAGGACGACATAATAAAGCAGGATAAGCGGCAGCAAATATTGTACGTTCGGGGGGAGCAAGTGGATGGAACTGTGTGTGTGCCTGCCGAATCCCGAATCCCGAATCCCGCATGTCAGTGAGTGTTTGTGTGAGTCATCGACCGCGGGCGGCTCCTCGGCCGTAAATAAAACAAAGTGCTCGGCTTTATCCATCCCTACCTCCATCCCTTTGCTCTCGTACCGTGGAAAATGAGTTGTCAATGAACTCTCGAGACGGGAGGCGACTGACTTATAGCACAGTTTTGGCTACTTTTGGGGCTCGACCTCCCCAATCAGTTCACTGTACGCACATTGACCCAATAATTGGCTTTGTTCTCGCTGTGCGGCACCTCTGGATGGAGCACCACGGGTTGGCCCATAGCCGCTTGGCCTCCTAAGGAACGGGGCCAGCCCGAATGCCGAATGAATTGGCAGTTGTCATTGGAGTGCTGCGAGGTCACACCCACTTTGTGGTATGTAAATGTCTTCTCTTTTATGGCAATTTATTGGAAATTAGTCTGGGCGGCGAAACCCCACTAATTGGCAGAGATATTTGCCAATCTATTTATGACTTTGGAACACAGACAGACACAGCCCTTAATGTGGACAAATAATTATAATTCATGAAAATAAAGGGCATACCTAAGATATGTCTGAATCAAGGAGCCATAATCAAACATTCGACACACTCGTTTGAGGCAGGATCCGGCTTAGCCCGTTCTCATGCCTTCAATCATCAGAGTCTGCGGTGGTGCGCGGCGGGGCTGGGCTGGGCAAGGTCCTGGCGTTTGACCTTTGGACTGGCCAGCAAGGTTGGAAGAGCATCAATGGCAGAGTGGCCATGTCGAATTTCAATGAGTGAGTGAGTATGAGTGACACGTGTGTGCCACATATCCTTGCCCTGGAAAGAAAGACAACAAATTTGGTTAAACAATTGTCAAGGAAATGCAAAACAAAAGAACGATGGGGGAGGCGGGAGGGGAGTGAGAAGGATTCGGTCGAGGTCCAGACTGACGACGAAAGCCCTGAAATGAATGCCTCCATCTCTCCATATCTATGTCTGCCTGTCTGCCTCTCTCTCTGTCTCTATCTGTCTGGGAATGGATACCCGCTCCTGCCTCTTCCTTCTGCCACCCACTCAATGTCATTTGCAGGAGTTTGGCGGCGGCTGCATCATCATCATCATCATACAATCAACCCGGCAGCCGGCAGAGGCAGCGCCCCAGCAGGACCTTGGCAATGGGAGGACCCGAGCCAAGGACCCGAGCCAAAGCCCGAGCCGCAGCCTGGGACCGACTGCAGCACTAGCGGCAGCAGTCGCCTGGCTGCATGCAACGCTTCTTATTCGAGGCGATGAGATGCGGAAATGCGCATGCCTGCGTGTCCTTGCCCTTGGTCCGTTGAGCAGGAGGGCCTGACTGTCGTGCCGTGCAGTGCAGTGGCGTGGCGTGGCCTTCCACCCATCGTCGGTCGTAGTGTTGTAGTGCCCCTGAAAACTCTGTTAACCTTCGTGCAGGACCTGCAGCTGCAGCGAAGGACTCTCTGCCCCCATGGCATGTGGCATGTGCAACGATGTTGCAGCTACGAACCATGCGCCTTGCATTCACCGCTCTCTCTCTCTCTCTCTCTCTCTTTGTCTACAGAAAGAGAGCACTGGCTACGAGTGGGGTACCGGTAGCCCCCATCTTTGCCATTGAGGGTGATGTCTGGCTGCCCCTGCCACGTGCTGCATGTTTGCAAATTTCATGGCGCTGTCATTGACCATGATATTTGGCCAGAAAGAGACCCGCTAAACGCTGTCTAACCTTAGGAATACCAGTGCCAGGGCCAGTGCCAGTGCCAGTGCCATCAACTCAATGAAATAGCCTCGCCATCGCCTCGGTTAGGAAGTCCTCGGTGGAGGGAGGACTTGGACTTGGTGTACATCAAAATATTTTATAGGTTACCGAAATCATAAGATTACATGCAGAAATTAAGCTCTGGATTGCCTATTCAAGAGTGCCAGGAATGACTTTAGAACACCTTCGTAAATGATTGAGTTGGAGCTGATTGGATTGGCATAGGTTTTGCTCATGGACTAAAATCAAGGTTACGCGTCGCATTTCCATTAAAAACTTCCCCCGCACAAGGGCAGTCGAAAACGTCCATTAGATTGCAACCCCCAGACGGGCAAAGATTCAAAGCCCAAGGCGGTCTCCCCTCTTAGTCAGGCGGCGGACAAATAATTGTAAAGGAAATATGTACTCGTATCTCTGCCCGACCTAACCAAACAAAATGTAAGCCAGCGAAGTGTCTAGGCAACCATCGTCTCGTTCTGCCACTTTCTGCACAACTCCTTGGCGAAGTTTCCTTTCATTTCAGCGCTCGAGGGGTTGCAAGTCCAGACAGACAGCGCAAAAACAGAGAAACAATCCACCCACTTCGGGCACATTTTGCAATTATTTTTAACTTCTATGCGGCGACAACTCCCGGAATGCCACACAAAAACTTTTGCAACCCCAAAAAGAAGTACGACAAAAGCCCTCAAAAAGGGGCAAACTGACTGCTTCTGCGACAGAGGAAATCTGCTTCCGACGTTCATATCCACATCCACATCCACGGTCATGTTCATGTTCATGTTCATGTTCAGGGCACCCGCGCCCACCCCCAACGCTAGTCCATTGTACATTGACTTCTCTGGGCTATGCTTTGCTTTGTTTTCTGCATTCTCTTCTGTCTTGCTCTCTCTCTCTCTCTTTCTCTCTTTCTCATTCTGTCTGAAATTCCCATACCACGACCTACCTTACCCATACCCACAGTGGGCTGCCGCCGCTGCTGCTGCTGCTGCTGCTGCTGCTGCTGCTGCTTTGGCCCATCCATTCTTCCATGCACAACTCCCGGCGCTGCCGTCGTCACCGCTGCAGTCGCAGCCGCAGTCGCAGTCCCAGATGGCTTTGCGTTGCGTTGCGTCGCTGCTCGTTTTCATATTGAAAGTAGAATTTTTCACTTTTGCAAAATTTCTGCCGCGCTTCGGCCACAGTCTCGTTAACGGCGTCCGTCATGTCGTACGCTGTATTCTCTCTCTCGCACGGTTAACAGTGCTCAGTTCTACCCCTGCCTCCTCTCGCTTTCCGACTACTCGGCTGCGCACTCGTCTTACCAAGCAACGTGTTTTGTTCTTGTCCAGCCAGCAACCAACTTTCATTTGTTGCAGCAATTTCAATTGCATATCGGTCGGTGCCAGGCATGCCCCAAGCATTCGCTCCGACTTTCTGCTCCCAGTAGCAGCAACACCACCTATCTGTGGCAGTATCCGACGGATGCGAAACGCGATCAACTGGAGCCTTGCCCTTTGTATGTGTGCTGCAAGTGTTTGCTTGTGGCAGCTTTGTGTACAAATTCTAAAGAAAATTCGAATTTAAGTTTTAATTTACCCAGATTCCAATTAATTCATGAGAAATATAAATTAATCGATGAGAAAGTGATGGAAGTATTGAGAATAAAATGCATAAATCCAATTATTATGTATTTGGAAAAACGTGACAACCTAGGAACAACAATTGTTGCAAATGGATTCAGTTGCTCAAAAATAAAACTAAGGGAACCTGAAATTGTGTGAAAAATATACAAAGTGTTGGTCACAAACAAAATCGTTTTAATGTTGAATTAAAAGTAAAAAGTGAAGAAATGAGCAAACAAAAATACGCAAACGAAAATAAATATTCTGTGAAATTTAAGAAAAAAAAACATTTTGAAAAATAATCAAATGTGGCCGAAATGTTAAAAGTATTCTTTTCTGAATAATTCCAACTATAGAAGTCTTAGGCAGCTCTCATTAGGATGCTGTCCCCTGACCTGACCACCACCTGACCTTTCACTCTCGGAATCACATCGCCAGCCCAGCCTCAATTAGTGGGTGGGAAGTGGAACCACTCCAGGCCACCATGAAGCACTAGAATAATCCGTTCGATCCGACAAGGGAAGAGCACACACACACACACACACACTCAGATTTTCGGCTCATTAAGCCCTCATTGGCGTCCGTCCCATACCCCAACTGTCTGACTCATTCCAGTTTCAAAACTCCGTCTGGAGTTGCAACCCTCATTAGAATCCGCATGTCTGCGTTGCTGCAACTTCACGGATTCGCCCCGTCCGTTGTGGGCAGAGCAACTCCACCTATCCACTTATAGTTCCAACAGCGCTTTAACAGTGCACTGTTGGGACAGCACATACTGTAGACGTTCTGTTGGGCAGCACTGTAGACGCTCTGTTATGGCGAGCGCTCGCTACACCTTGGTATTGGTGAACTTGATAAATACACGCGCCGCCACTTGCTCTCGCTCTTTCTCTCTGTCTCTTTTTGTTTGTGGCGGCTGCTCTCCCTCTCAGTCGTTCTGTTTCTGCGTCTGTTTCTATTTCAAGTTCTTTTTTCGCAATGTTAAGGTCAATACATTGCCAGTGAGTCTGTCTGTGTGTGTTTGCATTTCCACATGGTTGCAGCTTGTGCAGCGGTGAGGTTGCATTTTGTTTGTTGATTAGTTCGCTATTGAATATGTTGCCATGCACACTCACTCTTCCAATCTCTCATTGAATGTCATCTCATGTGCTCATTTTGCATATCGCAAATAACGGTTTATGTTTTTGGAGGTCTCTCCTTCTCTCTCTCTCTCTCTCTCTCTCTCTCTCTTTCTCGCCGACTGACGTTTGCGGAAGCTTTGTACCCACAATGCCAGCAGGAATGATGATGCATTTAATGCACCTCGGGGCGGTAAAGGGATAATAAGTGAAAGTGAATGAATCAGAATGATCATTTTTCAGAATCCCAAAAAACTCCACGAAGCACCAACCTGATCCATCATACACTTTCCCTATGATCTAGCTCCCAGCTAAAGTGTCTTTATAGTCCAACACTCCAGCAACTTCCACTCCAAATACTTTACAACACACACACGTAACTTCCGCTCTGGTTTCATTTGCCACTGCTGCCCCCCATTCAGCAACACAGGATCGGGGAGGGGGCCTTAGCTCGCAACGAACCTACCTCAATGCGTGGCAACTCAGCCCATACCGAAAATCCAGCCCGTCCCCATGGAAATTGTTCCTCTTCCGCACGCACATTACTCATACGCACGGAAGTCGAGGGCTGAAAAACTCAAACTCCGAATGGATTGGAATATTAGCAACCCCGAAAAACCAACCCCTGTGCGGAAGGGAACTCCAAAGCACCCAAACCCAAACCCAACCCCAACCCCACCCACACCACAAAGCGCTGCCCCAGTCCACAAATTGTTGAACCCCACGGAAAAAGTTTGTGTGCGTCGTCTTTTTGGCTTTTCATTCGCATTTATTTTTGTTTATTTATGTTTTGCTTGTTGTATTCTTCCTCTCTTTGGCTTCTCTCTCTCTCTCTCTCTATGTTCTCTCTCTCTCTTTCATCCAGCAATTCTCTCTCTTTCTCTCTGCGCGCTCTCTCTGCTCAGCTTTTCGTACGGGTTTCACTTTCATTGTGCAGCTTTTGCTCTCATCGCGGGAGAACAACAGCAGCGCCACTCTCTCTCCTTCTCACTTGCCTTCTCTTTCGCACAGAGTTCTGTTAGTGTTTCTGGTTCTGGCCTGTTTCGGAGCTTTAGCTTTTGCCGATTCATTCAAAAGTAGTACGGCAAACGCAACGGTTGGCGAGGCTTTCATCAGCCCCGCGCAAAAAAAATAACGAATTGGCCAACAAACAAATCCCCAAACACCCGAAAGGGACAGAGATATACACACACAGTGAGCGCAAGTGAGAGAAAGTGAGAGTGAGAGTGAGAGTGAGAGTGAGAGCAAGTGTCGAATCATTTTGGAATATTTATTGAAATGTGCAATAATTATATGGGCGACCTTATATAAGCCCCAAAGGAAAGGAAAGCCCATTGTCAAGGGCAAATAGTGTGTCGTCTAACATTGAGCCGTGACCGTGTACCCGTGTGCCCCCGTATCCGTGTATCGTTTCGCATCGCATCGAATCGTGGCCCCCCGTGTGTGTGTCCTTGTCCTTGTCCTTGTGCAGCGCGTCAGAGCCTGGCCCGAACAGCTGCTTGGCGCTGTCTCTGGGCCTTGGCCCTGCTGGTCGTCTGCTGGGCCGTCCTTGTCCATGTCCCCGACGACGCCTTGCTCTTGAACCACACCACACAACGCTGCAGCAACTTGAAGCTCGGCTCCAGCAGAGGACACTCGTCGCAATTCCAGGCACCCAGCTGTTGCTCCACACCTCCCCCCACAGCCGCCACACCCAGCTGTTTGTTCGCTCGTTCGGTCAGTTCAATAGTTCTGTATATATGGGAATTTAGAGGTAAAAAAAAAAACGAATCCGAGTCCCGGACCCGTACCCGTACCCGTACCCATCTGTGCATCAGTGTCGCAATGTGTTTCAACAAGCTATTCCTGATAAACAAATTCCCCAATCACACAAACAGCACAAAGGTCAAATGTCAACAGCAGAGACCAATAGCAAAGGTTTAAAACCACAAACACAACTAAAAATCCAATCAACTAGCAATCAAATCAAGTGAAAATTACCAATCCTGAGCAACTAAAAGCCACAAAATATACCTTTAATAAACGCAGAACAAAGCTCCCCCAACCAACCAACACTCAACTAAATGAATATATTTTTCTAGAGGTGTTTAAAACAAAAAACTGAAGGAAATACTCGTACAACAAAATGAATTAAATTGAATATTTACTGCTCAGGTTTTACACAAAAAAAAAAAAACAACAAGAAAAGCTTAAAAAAAGGATAAGAGGGATCTGCAACATCAATGCGTTGTGTTTCATGTGCAAAATCTTAAGGAATATATCTACTATAATACTAAACATACACATACAAATATATATTTTTGGAAAAAATTACTAAAATACTTAAGAAACAGCAAAAAATCGTGTGAAACGTGTATAAAATATTAAAAATATAATAAGCAGCAAAATAAGCAAAAACAAATATAATCCATTAACCCACAGCAAGAAAAACACATCGGAAGATCTTAACAATACATCAGATACGCGATTATCAAATAAACATACATGCATATATATTCTTATACATTATAATCAACGATCTTCAATCAATCAAACCATCAATCAAGCCAACAATCAAGCGAACATAAATACAACTATATTTATAAATAAATGTAAGTTCTATAAAAATAAAAATGTTGTAGAAATTAGAATTAGAGTACTATTTTCTATTGAGTTTTCCTTTCAGATCTAATTAAATATTTATATATTTTATCATTGCGCTTACTTAGATATTCGGAAAAAAAACTAAAACATACTCAGACGCTGCTGTGGAGTGGTCGTATAAAACCATCAAGTATTATTAGCATCTAACAAAAAGACGCGAACTTAGACTCGGAAATCAGCCTCAGAAAAACTCTCAGAACGAGAGGATCATCTCATAAACAAACTCAGTCGGAAAACTCATCGCATCCTCAACGGAAGAAGCCTCAAGCAACAGAGAATTATTTATATATTTAGAGAGAGAGAAATATATCTAAATAGTAAGGATTACTGTGTGGCAGGTATATAGGGACAACGCTAAGGATAACGTAAGGACTAAGGACAACAAATCTAGGATACAATAGAATACAGAAATAAAAAACAGAAAACAAAAACAAAAACAAAAAGGGACAACTTTTTCGCAACTTTGAAGGCTGACAAACAAAACAACACACAACCACAAACAACTTTTTTGATAATCCAACAAAAATAAGCAGAATACAACAACCAACAAGAACAACCACAAAAGCGTAAAGAAGAAGAGACTGATTTTAAAAACTAAAGAAGAAGCAGAAGACGGATAAGGATAAAGGATAAAGGATAAGCAAAGAAGAAGACGAAGACGAAGACGAAGAGCATCATTGAGGCAAAAAGTGATTCAGGATCAAATCCACAACAAAAATAAATCAACTTTCCATACAACAAAATAAAATATACACCATTTATTAATCGATAATCGGATATACGATATATCGATATTTTTGTGCGACTTTTCCTTTTGACAAATAATCCCCCATGTTGAAGAAACTCAAGTGCATGGAGGCGGCACAGGCAGCCGCAGCTGCAGCTGCAGCATCCGCCTCGGGATCGTCTTCGGGCACCCCAAAACTGATCAAAACCGAACCGATCGACTTTGAGATGCTCCACCTGGAGGAGATCGAACGGGAGCCGAGCAGCAGCAGTAGCAGCGGCAGCGGCAGCGGCAGCAGCAACAACAGCAGCAATGCTGCCACAATGCCCCAGAGATACACCCACGTCCAGGTGCAGACAGTGCCGCCACGTCAGCCCACGGGTCTGACCACGGCTGGGGGCACACAGAAGGTGATACTCACGCCGCGAGTGGAGTACGTCCAGCAGCGAGCCACCAGCACCACGGTGGGTGCCCTTAAGCACATTTACACACAGCAGCAGGTGGCATCGAGCGGCGGTGCCAGTGCCGCACGTCAGACACAAACAGAGGCCACCACGGTGGCCCTGTCGGGGTCACCGCAGATCATCATCACTCGAGCGGTGCCCAGTCAGCATCTGTCGCGTCGCCACTCGGCCAGTCCCTCCTCCCTGCACCACTTCCAGCAACAGCAACAGCAACAGCAGCAACCACAGCAACAACAGCAGCGTCAGCAGCAACAGTCGCCCCCGCCGCTGCACCATCAACAGAATCAGCAGCACGTGCGGGTCATTCGGGATGGTCGGCTGTACGATGAAACCACTGTGGTGGTAGGTGGTGGTGCACGTCGTCTGTCTGTCTCGCCGCCACCCCTTCACCATCACTCGCGCTCGGCGCCAGTCTCCCCAGTCATCAACAGACGCGCTGGGGCAGTAGTATCCTCGGGTGGCTACATGGATCAACAGCAGCAATATCAGCAGCGACAGACGCCGCCGTTGGCGCCGCCACCACCGCCTCCACCGCCACCCCCTCCGCCGCCTCCACCCCAACAGCAACAACAGCAGCAGCAGCAGCAGCAGCAGACGCAGTACATCTCCGGCGGGGCATCACCCACACCCACAGCGGCTGCACGCAAATTTTTGGTCAGCACCAGCACGCGACACGTGAACGTGATTGCCTCGAATCACTTCCAGCAACAGCAACAGCAGCAGCAGCAGCAGCAACATGTGGTGGCAAGCGTTAGTTCCAGCAGCAGCAGCAACTCCTCGGCCATCTGCTCCTCGGCGGCAGCCAGCTCTTCTTCCGCCACTTCGCACATATTTCGTACGCCCGTCGTCTCCAGCAGCAGCAGCAGCAGTATCAATCAGCAGCACCACCAACAACAGCAGCATCACCACCAACAGCAGCAGCAGCAGCAGCAACAGCACCACCAACAACAACATCAGCAACAGTCGAATATGGGCAACTCTGCCATGCGTCCACCACCGCCTCCGCCACCGCCGAAGGTCAAGCATGCCCCCGGCTCTACCACCAGCACCAGCAGCAGCAGCAGCAACAATTGCAACAACAGCAATGGCGAGGAGCCGTCTAGCTCGATTCCTGATCTAGGTAAGTCTTTCCCTACCCTTTCACCCTAGAAACTGTTGCTCTGGCAACCTGTTAACCCTGAAGGCACTTGTCGATCGTGCCATATGCACATACGTTGGCCAAGTCGGTTGACAGGTTCTACAACAAACATATCTGTAGGTAAAACACTTGCCAACCGACCTCGGGGTTTTATTTTAAACTCGGACTATTCTGGTAGCCAATCTTTGGGATTAGAATCCTTTAAACCTTCCATAAATCAGGGCTGGAGCAATGCTCAGAATTGTTTGTAAATTGATAATGTCGAAAGTTCCCTATCATGTGGCACAGTGTATAGAACCTGCTGTGGTGTCTTGTTTAGCCATTTGTGGGCCAGACACTCGGTGTGGCATGTAGGAAATCGAAGTGGGTTCGCGGTGATACATGGGTGAGTCACTTCTTTATAGAGCTGTTTATACAGTTAGACATTTAATGTGTCTATGAGTGAGTGGGGGGACGCATAACGGTTCGCTCTGCGCCGAAAGGTCACAGCTAAAATATGAGTAATTTTTGTAGCTTACTTTCTATTCTATAATATCGGAGCAAATAAAAGAAACTAGAATTCTTTTCAAGCACGTTTCAGCATGCGAAGTGCAATTACGGATTGGGTCAATGGGTCTACGCTTGCAGATATGTGTCTACATTCTTTAAGAATGTATCGTATCTGTTCAAACGGATATGAGAGTCGTACACGTAAGACATTCGAATTGGTTTCAATTCCCCATTGAATTACCTCATAATTTGCTTTAGCTTTTTGGGAATTCTTTGCGTATAGTATTTATTATATTATATTTGTGGGACTCGTGTTTACAGCTGGAATCAGCTGCTGCTGCGCCTAAAAAGCCGAATTATTTGTATTTCAATTTAATTATCTCCCTCACTCAACAATCCACGCGGCACACTTTTTTGGCTTTGTCAAGGTTGCAATGATGTTATAAAAACAGACCTATGTGTGTGTGTATTTTCGTATGGCTCTCCAAAGATTTCGTATATGTTTGTGTTCATTTCTGTATACGATAATTCCTCCTCTCTCACCTTGAACTTCAACTGGAATAAACTTTGCCGCTCTGTCTGCTCTGTCTCTCCCCCTCTCTCTGTGACGTGATGCCACCCGAATGTCGGTTGTTATTGTATCCAAATTGGAACTACTACTTCTATAGGCTATATATGGAATAAAGAAATGGCGCATAAATTAAATATATACGATACTCGTATATTGTTTGTCCCAACAAATCATTGTTTATTTTTTTGATTTTTGCTGAACAACTTTCTCAGATTCTCAGATGCACATTTGCATTGGTGATTTGGTTTTTGTTTTTTGGGAGAGCTTCCGTTTTGTCTGCCACACAAGTGATGGGGAATGTTCACACCCTGCCGGGGTGTTATTTATTTAAATTTAGAAATTTATCGCATCTCAGATTTTAAACGTTTTACACATTTTATTTGGAGTTCATGGGAATAGAGAATCGACTGGTTGGAACACCCCTTAATGGTTTATGCAATTAAAGAAATGCAAATTGATGTGCAATTAATTTATATTTATCAACACCAATCATTCTAATATAATTTATAAGCATTTAATAATATTTTTTGTGGGTATTTGCACTTCCTCAATTTTGTTGTAGATTCTTTGGAGAACCCTTTTCTGCGCTTTAGGCTATTTATAAAGTTCCATTCTTTTTCTGTTCTGATAATTTACATAATTTATTCCACTTTCAATTTTGTTTTGCCAACCTCCTCCCAAAGCCTTAATTAATCAAACATTTGTTCGTTTTAGTGGCTAGAATTGTGGTGTTGGATTAAATCATATGTTTCCAGCTAAAGCATGAAGAGGGAACCTGTTCCACGAATTCCCCCCATCCGCTGTTGAAAGTGACAGTTGACGATGATTTTTGGTTTTTGGAGAACTTCGAATGATTTCATTTTCGGGGTTTTATTTCATTTTATTTGTTGTCTGTTTTGTTTTGTTTCGTTTTGTTTGGTTTTGTTCTGCTTGTGTCTCAAGATTTGCTCAGTTATACAATACATACATATGTATATAAATCACGGATACATATGTATATTTTATGTATGGAGCGAGTGCTCGTTCTGTTCTCCTTTTGTTGCTGTTGCTCGGCCAATAAATAAACGAGTCTGCGAGTAGTCAAGCAAATAAAAGTCAAGGCCATCCCCAGCCATCCAGGCCGCCCTGATAGACACTCGTACTCGTAGATTTATTTTCCTTATTCCCCCCACCTCATCAGCAGTCACTGTGAAAGTGGCGCAGAGTCATCGAGGGGGAAAGAAAGATTCCCAATCAGCTACCTGTTTTCTGTTGTTGTTGTTGTTGTTTTTGTTCGGGTCCCAAACGTTTTCAATGTCAATGCCAGAACCCAAATTGGGGCTGTGCCACAGTGATGAGGAGACCTTAATAATATCACGCATCTCACACACACATGCATACACATGCATAATCATGTCAGCGTGTGGATGTCACACAAATTCGCATTCGTGTATGTATTCCCCGAATGAAAAGTATTTTTATTTCTCTGTTATCATTTTGAGCGAGTGACAGACTCAGTGAAGGCAGAAAGAGGCAGAGAGAGAGAGAGAGGGAGCTCAACACACGTATACTGACAAACATCTATTGAAATTGGAACTTGGTGTCAATCAAGGAATCCTCTTGTTAGCGGGTCATATATTTAAGCGTTAAGCTACAGCAAAAATACGCTTAGAATACGATTAAATGTTGTACTTTAGGTCAAGGAAATCCTGAGCATTGGCTAAGCTTTCGATTAGTGTTGAAGAACTGCTGGAATCTCTACTTTACAGTAAGATTTTGAATCATCAGTCAGCCAGTACCTGAAAAGGGAAAGCCTTCCCTAATCTTTTCCGCCGAATTTCAAAATTCCATTGAAAAATCCATCCATACCTCGGGAGCCCCCTCAATCCATCACCATAATGCGATTAGCCAAACGAAATTGATTGGCAAATGTTCCATAGAATAAAACGGAGTGGAGCGGAGCGGAACAGAGTGGATGCAATCGGTCGACCGGTCCAGTGACCCATAGGCCGATGTGGGGCAATGCATCTGCATGTGGCTTATTGCGTTCTGGCCAACTTTCAGTAGAAATCATTGGCTGGTGGCAGTGTTTGCGACTCGATTTTTCCGGCTTTCTAGCTGACGACCTTGCCAGTGAAATCTCTTGCATAACATCCATAAAGAGGCTAAGGCTAAGGCTAAGGCTATTGCTGTTGTTCCTACTACTACTATACTGGAGCGTACTTACATTATTTAATATAATTAAAAGCAAAGCAAAGGCGTAATTTGTTAGGGCTTTTATTCGCACTATTTGCCGCAAAATTGATTGTGGCCCATAAGCACCGATCAGCGATTGCTGTTGCATGCATTAATGGGGATTCTACTGGGTGCTCAGTGGGCTGGTGCCTATGCAAAACTAGCAATTAATACGCGTATTTGTTGCTCATTTACACTCACTCGCTATCGCAGTGTGCAAAGGTTTTATAATCGAATTGTATATTGATTAGGAATTATAATGTACTATATCCGTGCTAGAGTGGGGGTATCGTATCAGGTTTTTATGTCACAAATGTACATAGTTCTACTAAGTAGAAGGAAGGTACGTATCAAGAAAAAGGCTTACAATGTAATGGGAATACGAATTGAAATGTCATTAGAAATATAAAAAGAAATGTACACAAATTGCTTGCTACTGGATGGCTACTGGTCGTATACGTAATTTTATCCATTTTATGGTTAATTTTATATATTTGTTAGGTCGAAAATCGAGCTAATATATATTATCTATCTATCTGAAAAATAACTCTCACTTTCATATATCGAATAAATTGGCCACAATAGATCATATCCAGCCCTTTCCCCTTTTGCTAATGAAATTCCAACCAACTGGATGGCCCTGAAACTATGCCAAATGATGTTTTATGTAATTACCCAACACTTGATTGATTTATAGCCGCTGTACTAAACCTAGTTATGCTTAGTAGTTCTCCTCCTTCCCCCCCCACCCCCCCACCAACGCGATTTCAATCGAAATCTAATTCGAAATCTGTTAAACATTGACACAAAGTCACGCCAATTCCGAGTTATAGCCGTTTATTGCAGTTACTCAACTCGTTCCGGGCGCAGAGAAGGCTAACAAAAAAACAGTTAACAAATGTATCTAGCGGATAAAATGCCAGACGAGGCACATAGCCATAGCCACAGAACCTGTTTGAGTGCAAACGCCAAAACGAAATGAAATGAAAAGAATAGCAAAACCAAAACAAAGTGCAAATAAAATAAAGAAAAAATACATTATACAATGTACAAATTGTATAAAAATGCGAACTGCAAGTGGGAGAGACAGAGCGCGAACACAACAATCAAAATGATAGAAAATTAAAAACAAATGAGCGCCGGAGGGCAGGTACACTTCCAGATTTGTGGATCTAAAAATCTACATATGTATGTACATGTACATCTACATATTTTTCTATTATTACAGTTTATGTACGAATTGTACTCTGTCTCTTTGGAAAGGGTATCAACAGATACGCATACCAGTTGAAGCGAAAAGCACAGCAAGCAACAACAGAAACCAAGCGCAAGGTCATTCCCGAGTCTCTGGCATTAGAAGCGGAAGAGAAATAGCAATAGCAATAGCAAACACACACAGTAAAAGGCAATGCGAGAAACACACACAAAATGTGACACACTGAAAGCGAGAACAGCGCTTACAGTTGTAGTTGTAGCTTTGTGTGAGCGAGTGAGTGAGATAGACGGAGAGGCAGCGGTGGCGGCAAGTGCAGGCGTAACGTAAATGTAGAACACTTCCTGAATGACAGGCAGAGGCAGTCGAGAGAGCGAAAACAATTAGCAAAAAGCGAATTTGATTACAGTTACATGACGATGATGAGCCGCAAGGTGTGGCGGGGGGGTTGGGGTTAGGGTTTCGACAATGAGTGTGACGTACTTGAGTACGTTG